ATTGATTCATACACTTCCCTTTGTTTATCCAGACCCAGGTGATGTTTAATGATTAATTATTGATTTAATAATGATAAATAACTGTAAGTCATATTGCCTCTGCTGGCTTCATACATCATATATACAACATTCATCACGTTTTCATATGTTGGACGGTATGATGGGGAAACAGGTATTAAATTACATTCTAGGCGTCATTAAAAACATCTTAAAAGGTCTTAAATTTAACTTAGTGTACCTGCAGTAAACCTGTAGCGAATCATTAAATTTCTAATTATTGCAGGAGAAATAAATCATTTTTCGTAGTTCATGTATTACTTTCTAATTCAGTGTTTAAGTTTAGAATGTTTGCATGTTAATTTGCAAACATTACTAATTAGCACAAAACCTCTGTGGGTAATTGGTTATAAACCAAAGTATCAGACAAATAAAAATTTTGGCCTGATGATGGGGAAAGAAGAAGAAAGGTCAGGGGATCACCAAAGTAATTACACTTCAGCCTCTGGCGAACAAAATGTGTGCCTCTATCTTGAAGATTTAGGGGATGAATTAAACTGTTGGCCCAACAAATCTATCTGGGCACCATCTCTGCTTGTACCAAATTTAATGGCAATGCATCCTATAGTTGCCCAGCTCTTTCAGTTGTTCTCAGATTTTTGGCTGTCATTATGCAACTTGTTTTTCCAGTCCCCCTCCACCTCGACCCTGCTTGAACTTATCCTGTTACTAAAAATGACCCATCTCAGTTGCCCATGTAGTTTTCTCTCTGTATCTGTTTTTTCTACTGTATTCTTTGTATCTTGAGCTATATGATTGTAGGAATACTTATCATAAGTTATTTACATGTCAGGTGTTAGTGACTTGACTCCTTTTTTATTTGGTTGTTGCAGTGTATGCCTTTAGTATCCTTTAGGATCCCAATAAGTATTTTCAATAAACTTAGTGCTGACAGAGGCCAAGAAAGCAACTCTCTCTTTTCTTGTGCAACTAATAAAATTGTGTCATTGATGTCAGATTTTCCAGAAACATCCACCTACATCAGATTCATTAAACACATCATTTGTCTCATTAACTATGAAAGAAGGCACAGTCACAAAAAATCAAAGTGAATTTTATCAAACAATACCATTAAACTCAAATAAGAGTTTTACTTGAGCTGGTGCCAGTTGTGTTGTTTTTCCTACAGCTTTTTTTTTTTTTTTTTTGGCTCTTTTTCGCCTCAGTGTGCCAGCAGTCCTGGAGAGCACTGTCTGTTTTTGTTCTTCATTTTTCCACCTCAAGGATAAAAGCGCCGACCACATCCCTCTTCCCTATTAGCCCTTGCACTTCAGTGCTGCCTTTGAAGATTTAATCAGTCAGATTTCCTTGATTAATCCTTTTTCATGTCCTTTCATGGTAAATAATTACAGAGTTTGATACAATCGCTCTCTGGATAGAGAGGACAGCATGCAGACTTCTGATAGAGCAGAGTCCCCAGGTACCTTCATTAGCCTGATTATTCAGAACCAAACACACTCCATCAACCAGTTTACATGTAAATAGGTTAATTCTATTCCCACTCTTCACTCACTCTGCTGTGTTTTAACAGATAAGAGTTCAACAAATGTTGTTTTATTCACTCTCTACCTGCATATAAGCAGCATTACTAACATATTTGATATGATTTCCAATATAATGTGAGTTTTTTTCAATAGAATATGTTGTTTAACAGATGATTTAATCTCAATCCCTTATCGTTAGCCAAGCAATGAAGGAACGTCACTCTATTTTTACTACAGGTTGTCCAATGATGACACCCAGTGGCCAAATGCTCATCTTTCATCCATCCAGTGTTTTTATTTCAGCAAAACCTTCACCACTTGGTGGCAGTGTGATTCTGCTCTCCTCATTTAAAGATTTGTTTCAGTCGAATGCATCTTCTGAAAGCTGCATCACTCCTTATAGCTTTATAAAGGAGACTGCCTTTTTCTTAAACTTAATTTCATATTTAAAAAAATACTTTTAATGGTGTCTGAGTGAGTGTTAAGCACTGCCTGATGCTTTGTTTTGTTGAGTACGTGCACAATAGCTGCATGCTGTTGTGTATCAGAGGAGATGAACTGCTGCCCCTCTCCCCTCAGGATTAGTGAGTTAATGCACCCATTCAGACACTGAGCTCTGATCAGCTGCTTAATACTGTTTTATCCCAAATAACACAACCGTGCATTCATGATGTGTGCACTCTAACAGACACACAGACTTCATGAACCAACATATCCCTACTAAAACTAACACACACACACACACATGCACACTTTGTATGCCATATTGTTGCCCAGGTGCTAACAATATCGAGGCAGTAAGGCGGTACCATTTTATTGGTCTATAATTTCCCAGAAAGTTTTACATAAAGAATTATTTAATTTGTTATTAATTATTGGAAAAATTTGTTTCCCTGAAACATCCGCTTCAATTAAATATGAAGAAACTGTCATTCCTTATTAATTTATTATTGGAAAATTTCTTCTTCATATTGAATTGTGTGCCTGCCTATAGACAAATTACACATTTTTGCCTGTTCATCTTACCCGCTGTGCACTGACAGACAGCCTTAGTTACACAAGCATTTTTAATACAATTACTTGCCTACTTATATATACGGAAACATAAAATAAGATGTTCTAAATGTTCTGTATTTCATCAGGAATGTGCCTCACTGACATTAAAAATGTCTTTTACAGGAGCGTCCTGACCAAGACAGCAGCAGCACGTGAGATACGTAGCATCTCTGCGGCTATCATATGCTCATCCAGATTCACAATCAGAGAGGTCAAGGGTCAAAAGGGGTAAGGACGAATGCAGCCCTTTCTTTGTATTGGGTGCAAAAGTCCTCCTTTCAAAAGAAAAACCTTTTTTTTTACCCTAGACCATTGGTCTACTATCTATCATGTGGCTAAATAAAGACTATCCTACATGTCCAGTGTCAAAGGCCCTATCTGGGGATAGTTGGGTGTCTCCAAAGTGCAGGGGCACGCCCTGTTTTTGTCATTCATTCTACTGCTTCAAAGTTAGTCCCTGCTTTCCCCAGTTAGCATTGAAAAAGCACTGCAAACACACACACACAAGCTTATACTAATCCATGTGAAAACAAAGCTGTATATTTCTCCCAGCGCAGGTCAAGCGTGGGCTGTTCATCAGCGTGTTTATCGGGATTATGAGCATTTCGTCCATAATACAACCTCTATCATCATACTTACCCAACATTCACTCTTTCACATGAGGAGATTGTGCAGAAATTCACAGAAAGGTAAATTTTACCAGAAAAATGATGATGCAACTGGTGACCATGACTCTTTCAGACCATTCCCACCAGTGAGTCATGACCCAGTGAGACCTTGTGACCCCTTCGTACTGACCTCTCAGTGGGTGGCCTTCACACTGACCAACATGGACTGTGAAGCACAAGAAGTGGCTGCTCCTAGATCAGATCTTTGCTTTTTGTTCTAATTGTCTTCTCCACTTTTAGTACATGTCTAAACTTTTATATTTCTGCTCAGTCACCTTTTCTTTATATTATAAGTTTCTTATTTCTCTTTTCCACCTTTTGCCATCAAATGTTTCTCAGTTACTTTTTAATCATTAGATTCACTCCTGTTTCCCATCACAAAAGGGGAATGTCAGGCTTCTCCAACCATATAAATCTTAATTTAGATGTACGTTCCTGTGTGTATTTGAGAGGTCAAGGTATAAATGTACAGACATGTGTTTATTACGAATGTTAAGTAGTGGTCCGAGTGGATGTCACACCAGGATTATGCCATCCCAGTGTCAGTGAAGAAGAAAGTCTTTGTAGCCGGGCAGCCATGTTAATCATAAAGCTTTATCTCACAATCCTGCCTCGCACATCCGCCCTTTCATTAAAAGACGGCCAAAGGATTAGTGCAGCTAAACCACCAAGGCCTGGAGAGAAAAATGAGAGACAAACAGGATCTGCATCCATCCATCTATCCATCCATCCATCCATCCATCCATCCATCCATCCATCCATCCATCCATCCATCCATCCTTCAGCATTAACCACTTTAACAAAAAGTAAACAGAGAATCCATGGACTGATTGAATTTTTAATATTTTAATAACATCAATTTTTCCAAAAGAAACAAAATGACAGAGTCTTAAGAAAAAACATGGAATCCAATGCAAAATCTGTTGGAAGTTAGATATTCATTTTCACAATGTTAACCTGAGAATGCTATTTTTTGCATCTTCGCCTTGATCGCTAATCCAATCACTCCCCACGTATTTTCTTCCAGTTTGTTTTTCTCCGTCCATAAGACACCTTATGTCTTAAGGTGCAGACACCTTCCAAAAATCAGTTACATTGTGCTGGCAAATCTACCTCTGACTGTGTTTCCAGTGCAAAACATGAAATAATACCCAACAAAGAAAACTGGACACAAAAGAAAAATAGTATAAGGGACAAACTATCTGTCTAAGTAACAAAGAAAGAAGAAGTCTTGACCACAAATATATACAAAAGGAAAACCAGACACCTGCACATCAGATTAAAGTCCATATATACTGTATTAAATTAGAGAATAAATAAAAATACTTTAATTTATGTAGAATATCTGGTGTTACCAAAGCTAAAGAAGAAGTGCTTATATTACAAAAAACAGGACATCTGGTCAAAATGGCCCAAAGCAAGATTTCCTGTTAGGACCTGCGGGGTCTTATTTGGTAAACATTTTTTTTCAAGAAAGTGTATTGGTTTAAGTCAAGTATTTTCTAATATTAACAACGTTCAGCAGTGCTAGTCTACTGTGCAAGTGCTCCACACATTTAAAACCATTTTTATTCTACCGTTCTACTAGCAGTCTGTCTACTGAGAAAGATCGATTCCTCAGTCTTAAAGTCTGAGAGACATCAGCATCAGTCAGTGTTCATGAATGATCAGAGACTGGACTCGACCAGTCAGGGTGTACTGCTGGATGAAGCAGAATCCACTCTGCTGATCCTCTTTAGTCTCTGTAGACGGAGGTTATGTGTCGGGGGGGCATGTGTGGTGGATGGTAGGTGTTGTATGGCCCCTCCAAGTGTACGTCATAGCCGCTCTGAGTCTGATACAGGCCCTGCTCCACAGGGGAAGGGGAGTAGTGGTGTGGGGGTGGGTAATGAGGTGAAGGCTCCTGTTTGGGCACCAGGTTACTGCTGATGCTCAGGGGTGGTGTGGGAGGACCGTCGTAGGGAGGGGTCCCAACACCGCCAGCGTTATACTCATGTGGCGAGTGATTCTCATATGCTCCTCCTTTCATCGCCCTCAGGTGAAGCAGGTGAGCAGAGTCAAACGTACCATACGGCGGACTTGGAAGGCCTGGAGAGGAATAGCTCACCATGCCACCAAGAGGAGGAGGTGGTGCCCGAACACCGTGTCTGTCCTCAGGTCTCATCCCAGCACCGGGAGTTGGTCCCAGCTGCAAGCAGCCGGCCACCAGGTTGGTGGTGGGCTGAGAGAGTCCCTTACACAGTGTCTCCATGAAGGCCCTGCTCTCTGTGGACAGGCCCCCCTCCAGGGCCTCAGACAGAGCACAGATGTAGTTGCGGGCCAGCCGTAATGTCTCAATCTTTGACAGTTTCTGGGTTTTGGAGTGACAGGGCATGATAGTGCGCAGGTTCTCCAGAGCATCATTTAGACCATGCATACGTGAGCGCTCCCTGGCGTTAGCCTTTACACGCCTCGCACGGAAACGCTCCTGCCGTGCTTTGGTCATGCGCTTTTTCTTGGGCCCTCGCCGTTTGGATTTGTTTTCATCCTCCTGTCCTTCCTCTTCGTCCTCTTCGTCTTCCTCCGCATCCTCACTCCCCATCTCCCTGACCTGTGGGTTTGTTCCACTTGCTCTGTAGTGATGTGATGAGACTGATGTGTCTCCATCAGGTGAGCTCATGTCTTCATCCATCCACTGCAGAGGGCTGATGACCTCCTCTCCCTCGCCTTGTCTCACATACGGCTTAATCATCATAGTACTGTAGAAAAAAAGAAAACATCTTTGTTAAACACATGCGCTTCGGTGCACACACTGACAGGCTGACAAATCATCCTCATTACTGTTGTAAATATATATCCTTACCCTCTTACACTTCTTCTTCTCCACTGCATGTCAGAGGAAAAATTGCCTTTTTTTTTTACCCCAGTATCCCAAATTGTTGAAGTGTCCTTGAGCAAAACACTGAACCCCAACTGCTTCTGATGCTGCACCATCATTGTATGAATGTGTGTGTGAATGGGTGAATGAAACACACATTGTCAAGTGCTTTGAGAGGTCAATTGACTAGAAAGGGGCTCTATAAATGCTGTCCCAATACATTTATCTGACAGTTACTAGTTACTTAACATGTTTAAATTTTACATACAAGCACAGTTTATGAAATATGATGCATTGTTATAGATTAAACTACCAACACCACACAGTTGACTCTAATGAATACTTTTACTTTACTTTAGTGCAGACACCTCATGCCTTTGCTCACCACAGCCTAAAGTTATCTATGATTGCGCTAATCTAGTGTGACGATACAGTTATGTGGTAAAATATCCCGATTTATGGTTTACGCTAATATGAAGCATTGGTGGCATTCAAGTACCTGAGTATAAATCAGCTCACAATAAATGCTTTCTTTTCCCTGGTTTGATGTGAAAGGCTTGTTACTGATAATTAATTTATTACAGGGCTGTTTAGCTACCACTGAAAACCTGAGGTCATGCCCTCTTTACCTTTTTCTGGAGGTTTTGGGGTTTAGCAACCTGCAGAAGTTTGCACTCTATGATTAAAAACTTAGACTTGGTGGGGATTTTATAGACAATAGATTCCAGTATTTTAAGACTCAATATGTTTAAATAAGAGTAGGCCACCTGTAGGCCAATAGAAAAAGGAATGATTCAGTGTTTCTACATTAGTTTATCCTGGCAGTGTAAAAAAGACTTTCATGTAGGCAATAAAATGTACATAAATATTATTTAAATGTTATAAATGTTAACTGAATCAAGCTTAAGAAGCAAAATAAGAACATCTAAAGTCCTTTTTTTTAAATGTCAAATCATATTTTAATGAGGTGGTTAAACGGCTACATTAGGAGCCAGTGAGTATAAATAACATCAATAATAACCAATAATAAGTAATATCAATAATAACGCATATCAATAATAAAGAGTAATAACTTTAAATAAAAAACTAAAACTATTGATTCTCAGCAGTGTTCAAAACGGGCTCAGTGTTTCAGCACCGGACAGTTCCTTCCTTAGCCACATTCTGATTGGTCGAAACATTACAGCACCACACGGGCTGACTGACTTTAACACCTTTATCGCACATAATGGCTATTTGTTTTTCATATATGCATTATCTATTTTTCCACGTTGTCTGCCCCTCTGTCTCCTCTCCTCCTCTCTCCGGGTAATCCCGGTCAACTTGTGAACTGGTAATGCCCCGGCGAGATCAAGTCACTGACAGGACTTCAATCTGGGGCATCACAGGATTTGCTCCGCGGATGAAGCGACGACCGTGGGATTAAATGAAAGATCGACATCCCCCAGATCAGTGACAGAGGACTCAGATTGAATTGAAATAGACTTTTCAAAAGCCAGAAATATTAATGTCTCGCCACAAATTGCGTGCTTGAGCAGCTATTTGCTAAACGTCGACTGAAGCATATTGAGATAAGCCTTTTATACTTTTTTTCATTAGATATATTCACTGCCTGTTGACTTTCTATGTTGCTGTTTCAGTTGGACACAAAAGCTGGAGGATTAAAACTGCGGTTCACCACATGACTGACAAAAACTGAAGAAAAGATGTAATAGATCAGGACTAAAATGTTAAAGAAGTTTGAGTCTCGGCTGCATCAATCACATGAATAATACGAGTATAAAGTTTACCGGTGCTGAAGTGTTCCGGGACTTCTTCAAGACGTTTGATATTCTGGTGATAAGTTTTCTGTCCTCCTCGGATCACAGTTTGGTCTCTCTGCCCATGAACCAGTGCTGAAGTTCGGTGCTGTCCCACAGAGTCTGTCTGTCTCAGTGCGGGTCACTCTGCGGGGGCTCTGGGTTTTAACCTCCACGGTAAAGAAGCTCCTCCTCCTCCTCCCACTCCATCCAACTCCTGCTGACGCGCCTGAGCTTGCGCGTGGCCGGCCCGTGGCTCGTCGCCTCTGCGTGTGTGTGTGTGTGTGTGTGTGTGTGTGTGTGTGTGTGTGTGTGTGTGTGTGTGTGTGTGTAGCCTATGTGGAGGGTCAGAGAGATGTGCATAAGCTCACTGAAACACAAACAGGAGAGGCCCGGGTCTTTGTTGCTTTGCGAGGGCGGCCGCCAAATCCGCGGCACGTTTGCATTGAGCGGAGGGGAGACGCGCTCAGGCGGCTGAGCCTAACTGTATGTGACAGCTTGAAGTTGCGTGTGAGCAGGTGTTTGCTCCATCCCCTCTTCCAGCCATCCATCCCTCCGCACTGCGGAGATAAGCTGTTGAGCAAGTTCATCTCACCCAGGAGGCAGTTCTGACCAGACGGGGTATGTTTGGTCACATGAGGTGTGCAGTTACATCAGTAATATGACTCATGTCACCCCCTCCTCTCTGAAGGATTTGGGTGCAAGGCTTCTGTATTTTGAAGCTTAAAGCACCATGACCCGTACTGAATGTTTCTACGTGACACCCATGAATGTTTTTACTTATCAATATCGTTCAATAGTTGTAAGGTTGTTTTTTAATGCTGTAGAAAGGCTATTTAAATTACGTTTAATATGAAAGATTTCAGATAATTTAGTATTTCACCTTCTTGAGTGAAGGCATATGGCTATTTCCTCGAGGCAGTACCTGTGTACTCAAACTTGCAAAAAATACCAGAACAAAAGATCAGTTTGTTCACTTTTGGTTCCGCACTATCTGAAATAATAAACTTAATTCAGGTTGTAGGGGTTGTAGACTGGGTCTATAGAGAGAATATATGTGCTTCAGGGTTTAGATTTAGCTCTACATGAGAGGCCTGAGGCACTTTACAAGATAATCTGCACACCTAAAGTACGTGTTTCTGCCTCCCCGATCATTCCCAGGCCGAACACCCCCCCACCCACCCCCCGGGTCTCTGCCTGTCCTATTCCACACCTGCAGCCTGAAATGGGAATAGCAGAGCTAGGCCTCTTCCATCCCCAGAGTGGAACTGGCAGGGGAATATGATAGCTGAGGCCCTGTGTCCCTATTGCATACACACACACACACACACACACACACACACACACACACACACACACACACACACACACGCACACACACAACGCATTTTATGATACTTATAGAAAACGGAATTCGCTTTTTATTTCATTTTAGAGGTATGAGTTGCATCCCAGTTTGATAAATAACAAGTCTGTCTTGACAAAACTGCTTCTTTATCATTTCTACTTCCAGTTTGACCCACTTACTGCACGTCCTCCATTCTTCATGTTCCACAAGTGGTGCTCAAGAGCAATACTGTATGTATGCCATAATGTCCCCAGGTCCCTCAGTGCTGGCCACACATGATGAGGCCATCCTGCAGATGGCCTTCTCTTAAACATATCTCTTATTTTAACAGTCTGTGGCTCAGATGCTCATCTATTCTCCACTGGCTGCTCGGCTCACTCAGCATGTTCACGTTGCTCAGAGGACAGTCCCTCCCTCACCTTCTCTAGGTATGTTTGTGAGATGGGAATTTAGTTTATTATAATTTTTTTTTTTAAATGGAGGACAGATAAAACTTCACTCCAGTACACACACAAACATGACCTTCCTCTAAATCCCCAGTGTTTCTGTGTGTGATAGTGGGGGACAGTGGGCTTTGTCCATCTGTCATACTGGAAGTCCTCAGAGAGATGTCGACACCACAGCATGAGGAGTGTGTGCGTGTGTGTGTCAGTGTGTTTGTGTGTGTGTGTTGTGTGTGTGTATGTGTGTGTGCTCACACTTAGGGATAAGGATAGATTACATGTGCAGCAATCAAAAATCTTTTTCTTCCTACAATATCAGCAGCCTCAGATATACTTTTACTGCAGCAATAGTCTAACAAGGTCAGATTGTATCTCTCACTCTGCATATGACTGTGTCCATTTCGAAATGTATACCTATGGTAAACCAATGACAATGCAGTCATCAAATTGTTCAGAAAGCAAACAAAAAACTCCAGAGAATGAACGTTGCTCTGTATTTCATGGTCCCCCATCAACTTTAGAAATGGCCAGCATCTAAGCCAAACTTGAACCTCCCTCCAGCCCAGCACCGACCCTGGGGAGACAGGGGTGATGTTGACCATGTGTCCTTCTACTAACCATCTCATTGATGGACCCCACTACTGGGTAAAATAGACACCCCCTCTCTGCCTGAACCTCTAAACCCCCTTAACCCTACCCTAAACCCTCTGTTGGCCCCCTGTTGTGCGTGCTCATTGGCTGACCGCCTTCAGGCGTCCCTTTTCCACGGGTCCATTGTCTGGCCCCATAAGCAGCTTTGTTTCTGCATGTGCAGCTGGGCTAGCCCGCGCAGCCATTAGCCGCAACACGCCAAAGGGAGAGCGGGATAATATAATTACAAAACAAAAGTCAGGTGGCTCACAAGATTTGCCAGGAGAAGCCCATTTGGGGGAGATGCGGGGACATGCTGGCGGGTGGCCAGCTATAATTCGATTATGAAGTTGTGTGAGTGACAAAAGAAACAATTGAATCTTTTTTTCTTTTATTTGCCCCACTGTGATTTAATTTGATTCCATTGGGGCTTTAAAAAGAGGGCAGTGTGAAAAGAGAGAAGATTTACTCTTCTAATTTCTAGAGTCACCAGCTCAGAAAATGTAATATTGTCTGACAAAATAGCAAGAGAAATTCTTCCCGGGGCTCACTTTATTGTCATGTTGCTGCAACACTTAGACTGCATGTGAGGCCAAAATCAGATGAATCGCTGAAGGCCGGAGTTTCCCTGTAAACTGACTGGTCTTGTGCTCTTGTTTTGCATGAATGCACACAGACTGGTGGACAATGGGATCAGTGGCAGATCCATCTCCTGTAATACTTTCTTTAAACAGGGCTGCAAGTGTGTCCCCCTGTTCTGTCGGCAGACCAGAATTTATCCTGTTAGTCACCCTAGATGAGTGAAAGAGGAAAATCAACCCCCATCCCAGCTGGACACACACACACACACACACACACACACACACCCTCTAGGATGCACCCATTCACACAGGCACACAAACACACACACACACACACACACACACACACACACACACACACACACACACACACACACACACACACTTAACCCCACACTGGGGAGTTACACGCACAGCTTTATGGACAGCTGATAAGAACAGGTTTAGCTGGTGGCTACTGTTCAGAGCAGGTCAAGCAGAAAAGGATCTGTTAATGTCTTTTTGTTTCCATAGTTCATACTGCAAAAGCCTGCATTTTGTTAGTTTTTTTTTGGTTTTGTTTTGCTGTTATAAAGGACAATAAGCAATTGTGTCAAATGCACACATGCTCTTACTACTGAAGGGTTGGTGTCAGTATTGTGCCCGCTCAGAGTGTGTAAACGCCCATTTTTTGCCCCATTAGGCACAGTTTGATCATGCCCCTGGGAGAGCACCACATTCTCATGCTCTGTAAGACTGCTCAGAAATGTTTCACTGCAGATTAATCAACTGTCTGGTTTACTGTTTTATTCATGCAAGTGGCTATGCGTGTGTCTGGGTGAGCAACTTCCGGAGCACTTCAAACAAAAGAACCAGCATTTTAAGATAGATTCATTGTTCAGATTATTTTGATTATTATGAGTACCTCTCACTGAGATAAGTGCTTCTGTTGGGAATATTATTTCAAAGCATTTACATAATGAGCCTAATGACAGACAGACAGGCAGACTGCTCTATATGTTGCTTATTGGTTAGCAGATGGCAGCTTCAGTTCCTGGGGGTTGCGGGAAAGGCGGAACCAATGAACTTCTTCCCATCACCGTAGAAAGATTTATCCCAGGTGTAAGTTTGGATAATGAGCTCCTTTCCTCCCAGGCTCAGACGACACCTGAGGAAGATGGACAATAAAAAAAAAAAAGAAATCAGAAAAGATCATCAAGGACATCACAGGACGTGTAGATTTACTCACTGTTTTCCAGGGCGAGTGATGTAGCAGAGGCTGTAAATGGCAAAGTCAAATTCAGGGCTGCAGCCGATGACTGCAGAGCCGACCTGCTTGAAGTAGCCTCCCCACATGAACTGCATTCCCATGACGTCAGGGTAGGTAGTCCACTGAGAGTGACAGAAAGAAAGAAAATGAAGGGAGTGCCTCATATGTCACAACACAAACCACCATGTCGTCATTTTTATCGTGGATGCTTACAGGCCCGTTGAAGCTGTGGCTGTAGTAGTTCAGCTGTCCCCTCTTTTCAAGAAGATAAAACTGGATCCAGTTGTGGAAACCAGACACCTTTCCTCCCTTGACCTCTCCTACCACACAGGATATAGTTCTTTTTTAAACACATGAAATGTTCATTTTTAAGACATTTATGGTGTTTCAAAGACATCTGCTCTGTCCAAACCTGCAAAGATGTGTTCAAAGCCACTGGAGTCCATTTTGTTGTTGTTGCGGGAGTACAGACCGAACCACATCATCTTCAGATCCTGAATGAACTCTTCCTCTGATGCATAGACACCTTAAAAGGAAGAATAAGATTCATTTTCAAACACAAGGGCAGAGGTTTTCCATCTGTGGAAGCTAGAGGGAGACTCTCACACACTCTTATAGTAGCTCCAGAATTAGCCCACAAATCTTGTTTTTAAGTTTTCATCAATATCAAAGTAATCAAGTGATGTCTGTCTGTACATCCACGGGTACAGTACGGTAAACAGGGACTGCTCATTTCTAATTCGGCAGGGACCAGTTGTAGGATTTAGGGGATGTATTGTGTCAGAAATGGAATGTAATATTCATGATTATGTTTTCATTTGTGTATAATCACCTGAAACTAAGATGGTTTCTACAGTAGCTCAGGGTGGACACCGCAAACACTGGCTCTAGAGAGGGGCTTTAGTGTTTTTATGTTAGCTGAAGGCCACCGTAGGTTCTCCGATCTGCGCGCTTGGAAACAGATTGCTGAGGAGAGGGGTGTTCAGTTGGTTGCAACCTGCAACCTTGCCACTAGATGCCACTAAATCCTACACACTGGTCCTTTACTGGTGCCAGTTTGACAAAATGTAAACAAATAAAGTCTAAATAAAAACAGGGCTCAAGCTGTAAGTTGTAGCCCACAGATAATGCACTGACTCTCAGTTTTGTCTGAGGTGGGGTGTCCCACAGTGTCAGACTTTGAGAACCCCTGCACCAGAGCAATAGCCTCACCAGACCTCTATGTGAGCAGTGCTGAACCAGTGTAAGGATGTATTATTTCACATGGACCTAGTTACCCTTTGTGTAGAGGAAGGCAAACAGCTCTCTGCCCAGCTCAGTGTTGGACATGGTCTCCTTGACAAAAGCCTCCTGCTCAGCCAGCTGCTCAGGGCTGAAGTCCTCCGCCTGTCCAGTCATCCTCTGGTAGTTGTCCAGCACAGCCAGGAGAGCAACATATGTGGGCCTGGAGAAGAGAGTCTCCTCATCCAGGTAGCGGAACAAGCTGGAAGCGCAAACACAAGCAACAGGTGACGCAGAAAAAGAGGTAAATACATCAGAATCAAGAAGAAGAGGAGGTTTTACTACTAAGACTGTCTGCTCACGGCTGAGAGGAGAGATCTGTCTGCGAGCCCGTCTGAGAGTTGGGCACCAGAGCCTGAGCTTCAATAATCAACTCTGAGGCTGAAGCCTTGTTGGAGTCCAGGGCGTAAAGTGTCTCGGAGACAGCCTTGATCTCAGCATCAGTGATCACACTACCGCCACCTCCCCCATCACCTGTGGAAGATCACAAACACACTTACAATAATTAATAACAAAGTGCATTTACCCAAGTACTATATCTAAAAATTTGATTTAGGCTACTTGTATTTGATTACTTCTATTTTATGCTACATTATACTTTCACACCACATTTATTTTACAGTTATTACTTACTTTGCGTATTAAGTGTTAGGATTACATTTTACATCAGACATATATATATATATATATAGAGAGAGAGAGAGAGAGAGAGATAATCAATATATAATAGATTTGTATGTATCATTAAATATCACAATAGTATATAAGATAGATCAGCTGACCTCCAACTTGACCACCTACAACATCAAAATACTGTTTACAGTCAATAATAATAGTAGTAATGATACATTTTACAACAATACAGTGATACACACTTTTGAGAGGGGCCATTCTTCATACGGAGTACTTCTCATATTTTACTGTAGGTTCATTTTGTTTATAAAACTTCTGAATACAGGTAAAGGATCAAGTCAATGATCTGAATAGTTCTTCCGCCACTGGGCATTACTAAACAGAGAGGGAGCAGGGGAAGTTTGCTTTCTATATGTTATATAGCACAATAGTGACACCTGCTGGTCACATACTGAAAGCTTTGACCTGTAGAGGCTGGTCTCACAATCAACGGTAATGGAAGAAGTACTTAGATTCTTTACTTAAGTAAACGTTCCTATACCACAATGTAAACTACTTAATTAAATGTCCTGAAAATTCTACTTCAGTGAAAGTAAAAAGGTGTAACCTGCAATATCAATAGTAAAAGTACTCATTTTAGAAAACATCTGTGGCATGTGATATATACATTGATATATTATAATACTGTTGAAGCTGGTGGAGGTGCAGCAAGTTTAACTGTTTCATATACAGTTAGACTGTTCAGTCAGTGTTTCCCAACCTGGAGGTCGTACCCCTTCAAAGGGTCACAAGATGAATCTGAAGGATGACAAATTGTCCTCCAGAAGCCAAAGTGTTTGGGAACCACTGGTTTAATCCTTACACATGATGTATTGTAGAAAATTATTGTATGTTTTTTGTGTAAATAATAACTGTCAAATACTTAAAGTGGAGTAAAAACTACAATATTACCCTCTGAAATACTTGGATTACAACTATATAGTAGAAATACTCAATTAAATTGTACTTAAGTACAGTAGGTGGATAAATGTACTTTTCATGTACTTGTAAATGTATTTTCTACCACTGCAAAGCAAGACAGCATATAAAGTCATTATTAGGCCGTGACACATCCAGATGAAAAGACTGAAAAACAAAAGGTTACAACAAATATTAAAGTTATTTTCACAAACTGCAGATACAGTGCTCATTGTCTGACTGCTGACTGCTTAGATTTTGAGTACACCATGTGAAAGTCACCAGGTGTCATAGCTGTTCAAGCAACATGACCAGATAGAAGCTATGGGTCAACAGTGAGATACAGTATGGCACGTGAGACGGGGGTCAGCTACGGGTGGCACGTGGTTGGACTTACTGTCACAGAGGTCTGTGTAGTCGCTGCAGCAGTTGTTGTACTGGGTGCACTTGGAGTTGCAGTGGCACTTGTTCTGAGAGTTGTATTTCTCGCCACATCTGCCTTTACAAGATGTGGCTCCAGCTAGAAGGGAAAGAAACAGACTAGTGATAACAGCAAAGATGCAGGTTGTAAAATAATATGGTTTTACAATCTTACAAGCCTAGAAAAAGGGTAATGATTAGTTGGCTGTCACCTTTACATATTTCAGCGTAGTCTGAACAACAGTCTCTGTAGCGCTCACAGGATGCATTGCACTGACAGGAGAAATTACTGTCTGTCCCATAACCACACCGACCCTGACACGAGTCCAGGGAGTCTGGAAGCCAACAGGGCAGACTGGTAATTTAATGATACAGCAATGCAGTGATATTTGTATTCGCACCTGTATTACATGGTTATTGATAAACCTGTAATAATGGACTATTCTGATAATAGAGCAAAAAAATTAATCTCTTACTGCTGTAGCCCTGGCAGAACAGGGTCACAAAAAGTGCAAAGACAGCAATGACCTTCATCTTGACTCAGCAGCACCCTGAAAACAAGGTGAACTGACTTTTATCATGGTCTCCCTTTTATAGCAAGTTTCACCTGACCAATCCAAACCCAACACTCATATTAACCGCGCCCACAGGTCAGGGTGTCACTCACTTCAGTGTGATCGTGTCTCTTGGATAAAAACACTCTAAGAACAAGGTGTGACATACGTCTAAATCATTAGCTCCTGTTGATGTATTTATGGATTAACAAAACGTGTGAGGTGTTGAAGAACCATGGCACGTCTAAACAAAGTGGGACTTTAAAAAAAAAAAAATTCTAAGTATAAGTAAACTTTCTGTCTCTTCCCTGTGAAACTGCACACCTGCTTCACACACAGATGGTGATTTAATATATCAAAATAAGACCATATCAAGTTGTGAGCTGTGATAACAACTGCAGTTTCAGACTTTTAATATTTATTTTTGATAAATAATGTGTGTCCATTAAATTAAAAGTAAAATGTTTCTTTTACAACCCATTGCATTTTACAGTAAAGTAATGAAATCCAGAATTAAAATTATTTAAAGTTAGAAAGTCTTTCAGGACCCTTTTCTTATTTCTCCTGCCAGATTGATCAGATGCTGTTTTTCACAGGGTTTGTGCAAGATAGCTTAGATTACCAAGAATAGCTCACCTGTGACCAGTGTCCCTGGTCATGTTGAGGTCATTGCTCTGACAAATACTACTCAGCAAAGATGCATAATTCATTAAACAGTGTATATCAACAAGGTCAGAATATATTCAGATGGTTTTAAATGCATGGAAAATAGACAATGTTGAAATAATTCATGATTTTCTATTTCTAACTATTTTCTAAAACTAGACATTTGTATAAAATAATGTAATTTATAGAAAATAAATGATGAGTAATTCATGAAAAAACAAAGCCTAGAAGAAATCCTGTAAAAATGAGCACAACTGTTTGAAAGAAAAAATGTTTTCTCTATCCTCTTCATCATTCAGGACCACTTGGGTGTTTCTTGTGACTCCTTGTGGGGAGTTGGGATTGTAATGCTGTGGTGCAGACAGATAAAGTACCAGATACAAGTCTGTATTTAGACTTTTACTTTAGACGTATATCTTCAAATTCATAAACACTTATTTCGAGGCCAGAAACATACAATATACTGACAGAACACTAACATATATAATCTTTAGTGTTGCTTTTTTTTTTTTTTAGGACAATGCAGTTGCTGGATATGGCCTCAGAAATGCAACTGTACTCCCGTGCTGTGGAGGGCGCTGAACGGTGGTTGTAACTAATCTTACGTTGACTTGTTTGGCCCTCCACGGCATCCTTACACAGCGTGGAGTTCAATGACATTCTGAGCTTTCATAAGACAGGGAACTTCTCCATGGTGAGATGATGTCGTTATCCTTTTTATTCAGAACAGTTACGAGAGACGTTGCAAAGGTGAGCAGATTAAACGTTACACTCAGCTCAAACTTTAAGTCAAACGTAAAGAAAATGACTGTCAGGTTTGCTCGTTAGCCTCTGTGCTGTCTCATTTACTAGCCATCGTTACTGGGCCACTTTCTATGAGCTACCTTGCTCATTCATTCACATTTCATGTTAATTAGACGTTATTGTGGCAGGATATCTCTGCGTGATATTTTGCTTCAAGTGGCAGTTCTTGTGGCAGAAGTTAGGTACACCTGACTGTCTTCTGAAGACAGTAAACCGAGGTCACTGGGCTTTTGAAGTTATTCTGTATAAAACACCTTCTACCATCTGTCCCCCTCAGGTCAGCCTCTGCCAGCATGTACAGTCGCTACACACAGGTTGTCAGCTCCTGGCAACAGACAAAGCCCTCCTGATGAAACTCCGGAAAGGCACCGGCTACACTTTCATTAACTGCAAGAAAGCACTGGAGAAGTTTGATAATGACATAGCACAGGTAACCCCCCTCTTGATCTCCCTCTGCACTCACTGTTAAAGTGTGATTTAAAAAATAATAGATTTGGTGCAGAAACAAGCAGTTGTGTTACTATGTTGCTCATGAAATCTGCCAAACTTTCAGGCAGAGACCTGGCTACATGAGCAGGCTCAGAAGGAGGGCTGGAGCAAAGCTAACAAACTGGAGGGCCGCAAAGCCAAAGAGGGTCTGATTGGTCTCTTTGTAGGAGATAAAGCTGCAGTTATGGTGGAGGTAAGGCCAGTGGTAGCTGTAACCATTTCACTTGAACAGTCTCCTGTTTGGTGGGCATGATGGCCATCAGTGATATATTCTGTCTGACTTCTTGTCTGTCTGATGCAGGTGAACTGTGAGACAGACTTTGTTGCCCGCAATGAGAAGTTCCAGCAGCTGGTTAAGGATGTGGCATTTGCCACCTTGGCTCACCACCAGAATAAAAGCCGAAGCCAGGAAGGATATATCAAGGTAAAGTCACACAAAGTTCTTCAATTTATATTTTTTCCTCAATACAAATGGATACACAAAGTGGCTCACTATAGTGGTGTGAGAAGGATTCACTTGTTTTGACAACAGTTAACTATTAGCAAAGCTAACTCAATACAGTTACACAATTTTGACATTGTTGAAAACATGTTTATTTGGTTTTGTGCAATTAAGGCCAAATTTTCCAAAACAAGCTAGCTGTTTTTCAGTCTTATGCAAAGCTAAGCTAATTGTCTTCTGGTTTCATGCTTAAACAGACATGACAGTGATATTGATCTGCTTATTGAACTCTTGGCAAGAAAGCAAATAAGCACAATAACCAAAATGCCAAACTATTCCTTTAACCCCTACAATGAAGTTAACATTCGACTGCCAATATATAATACATATATATACGTACATATATATACATATATATATATATATATATATAAACTATATATGCAAGTTTCTTACAATATTACAAAGTTACAGTGTGTGATGTCATGTTGATATTGCATTGAATAGCAGTGTGATGCATTTTACAAAATTTTGACTTAGAGTTTTTCCACAGGAACTTGTCCTACTCTCTGACTCTGCAAACATCTAACATTTGTTTTCAGAGCGTCTTGGCAGGTGAAGAGTTAAACAAACTCAGTGTGGGTGAAGGAGCTTCACTTGCAGACCAGGTGGCTCTCACAATAGGTCTGTAAGAGTAAAATTTTTTTCCACTGAAGTAATGCTTCTCAGTTTAACTCAGTGGAATTTGAATTATTGTTATTTGAAAACATGTTTCCCTCTTTCTTTTCAGGACGCCTCGGTGAGAACATGTCAGTGAAACGGGCGGTGACAGTCGGTGTCCCTGCTGAGTGGAACATCGGCTCATATGTGCATGGTGGTGTGAGCGGTCAGACTGAAGTGGCCATGGGGCGATACGGTGCACTGGTCGTATTCCAGGGTGGAAAGGAGGCAGAGCAGGAAACTTTAGGTCGGAAGCTGGGACAGCACATAGTGGGAGAGTCCCCCATATCCCTGGGCAACATGGATGACCTGCCCTGTGGTGAAAGCGAGACACGTCTGCTGCCTCAGACCTTCCTGGGAGACCCCAACAGGACTGTAGCACAGTTCCTCAGGGGTCAACAGGCTCGTGTACTGGACTTTGTCCGATTTCAGTGTGGAGAGGTAATCGGTGAAAAAGCTGAATGAAAGGAGGAAAATAATGTATCCAGTAGGATTTTGTCATGTTTGCATTTCATGTGAAAAGTACCCATTTATATCAGTCAAACAGTCCCACACTGTCATCATTAATTTAAAAGCAGAATTAATTGACCTCCCAGCATTGGTGACTATCAATAAAATGTTTTTTTTTCTGGAAATCTCAGTCCAAGTTAATTTTATATGATTCACAATATTTTGAATTGCAAGATTCAGTCGTTTGGATAGATGTATTAGTAGTAATATATATACATATAGCAATATAGTGTCATTTTCATAATTTCTTACATATTCAAAGGGTGTTGCTACTTGAGTAAAGGGTCATAAGTTAGGGTGTCCAGCTTGTTTGGTACCTTTATATACTTAGTAAATTACCAACACTGTGCTGCCCTGTAACATTGAAGTTTGAACACACTTTGTTGCAACAGTACACCAGAGTCCTCAAGGGTCACAGTACAGTGCAAGAGTTTTAGGCACTTGAGATGTTCAGCTTCTCATCCATTGTGGAAGACCATCAGGGAGGTGTGACTGTTCCTAAATTCATAAGCAACTATCCTCAGAGATGAGAAGAACAAGTAGTCCTGTAGCAGATGGTCTGGCTCGCACAGATCCCTGATCTCAGAACCATGTAGTCAGTCTGGGATTACATGAAGAGACAGAAGACACTGGACAGCCTAAAGCAATTTTTATTTTTTTATTTTTGAATTGAGAAGAAGTAAAGACAGCCCCTGCAGCAAAGATTTAAAATGAGCGAGGGTGGGGCGGTTTTTATTGGCATTGCTATAAAAACTAGAGTTGGTGTGTAATGCTGAGGCTGTAGCTGCTCTCCTACAAAACAAGCGAGAAACGCAGGTGTGGAATGGAGGCCTGTGATTGGCTGTTGCTACACAAGCTGCGGTGACATCATCAGGGATGCGGAGGAGCCGGGGCTAGTCGCTGCTGCTGCTGTTGGTGTCTTAACAGTTTAAGATACAAGACCTTCTCCCGCCTGTCTGTGTCTTATATCCAAAAACAGACATGGTAAGTGAAGACAGTGTTCCAGACTGATGTATCGAAATGTTAATTTTTTTAATAGATTATTTTTTGTACTTGAAATTTGTTCATTGGTAGATTTTGAACACATAAAACCTAGGTGCCGTTAAGCTAGCTACGCGTCTGTCCTGGCCTGCTTTAACGTTAAGTCTTTGGCTACAATCCTTTTCTTAACTCTACGTTAGAGCTAATGCAGGATTAACTCGGAGCTTTTCTAATCAAACTAATGTCAGCCCCTTTTTTTCGTTTGTTACTCCCCTCTGCCTCCTATTCCTAACCCTGCCTCAACCAGTCTGACTTCACTGAGGACCAGATCATGGGTGAGTAAACATCTGATCCACAAAAGGGATTGTTATGTTAATTTTTTCACGGCACAGTAATCTAGTCATAAACATATTATCATTTGAAATTTACTTATGAATTGTGACCCTGTAGCTCGACATTTGTCTCTGCAAATTAGTGGATCCCTGCAGGTATCACTTGCTGACTGAGACATAGGGAACTAAACATTTTCTAACTGTGTGTGGTTTAAATGTTAACGTGTTCAGTGCTTGTCACGACTTATACATTACAAATACAGTGTAAATACATTACAAGTTCCACTGAAGGTTGTAATCTAACCTGCAAAAAAGAAATTTGCAGGCTTTTGCATGCTGATGCCAAGATAAGTGTGTGACATGTCAGCAGTCATGGTAAAAAGCAGTGTATGGATCACAGTGTGGGCTCCAGCTATATATACTCTGTACTTAAAGGCGTGGCAAAAGACACAGAAACTGTTCTTTTGAGGCACTCACCAAACCGGCAGCAGATTGTTAGAGCAGACAGCAAACACTGATGCCGGATACCAGCTATTTTGTGTCATTTTTTTTTAACAAAAGAGGTCTTGTTAGAGGAGTGGGAACAATTTGTGTTTTTGAGACTAGCACATGATCCAACAACCCCCACCACCAACCCCTTATTACAGACAAGTATAGCCTTAGGCGATGAGGTAGAATTTGTTTATACAAAACTTCATATTTTAGTATGTTTCTGTTTGTTTCTGATCTGATGCTGAAGTAATAGAAGAGCCAGAAATTCAAAAAGTTTTACTTACTAAAAAGGGGTTAATGCAGAGGAAGGAAAGACATTAGAAAACAAGACTACCCAACCCCCAACTTCCAGGGTAAAGTATACACCTGAAGGTCATCCCAAGACCTGCTCCTTTTTGAAGAATATTTTTTCCTTTCATAATGCTGTATATGGGCCTGGATGTAATGTTGCAGGTGCAGTTTAGGGCTTTAGTAAATGGCTCTCACAATGAAATTTAAGTGATGCTAATGCACAAAGCTAGTTTTGTTTTGAGTTCTGATGCAGTTACATTGTGTTACCACCACAGTATGAGCTGATAGGATACCTACCTAACACAGCAGTGTACTGCCCTGCAACTTTGAAAATGTGGAGACATAATTGCATGTGTGTATTCTCAAAAAAATGTATGCAGTGGGAAATAAGTTGTTCTACTACACAAACCACTTTGCTCAATGAAATGACCGTGACATGCATCTGTAGGATTGTAAGTCCTCTGTTACTTGTATGTTTTTGCTTGTGTCACCTGTAATGTTCATTAAGCTAATGTACTGTTCAGTTGTGTCTGAGCTCCATCTTTGTGTCCATATGTTAGAGTACAAGGAAGCCTTCCTTCTGTTTGACCGGACGGGTGAGGGGAAGATAACCTATAGCCAGTGTGGTGATGTTATGCGGGCCGTTGGACAGAACCCTGTCAATGCTGAGGTGCTCAAAGTCCTGGGAAACCCCAAATTAGAAGGTAAACCTCTCTGACACACTTTGGAGCTTTGTGTACAGTTGTATTTCCTCATCACATTCTCAATGAGTACATGTACTGAATTGTTTGTGGTTTGTTACAATAGGAGTTAATTAGTAAATCTCTGATATTATGAAAACTGCATTAGGCTGGGAGTGAAGAGAGGCTGCAAGCTTCCTGACATCGGTACAAATCTTATGTTAAAATCCTCTTTGTGTTTAAAACAAACCAACAAACAAAAACGTGACTTCACTCAAGTCTCCATTTGTTATTAATTAATCTGCAGAGATGAACCACAAGTTGCTGGATTTTGAACAGTTCCTGCCCATGCTTCAGGCCATTACTAAGAACAAGGACCAGGGCTCCTTTGAGGACATTGTAGAGGGGCTGCGAGTCTTTGACAAGGAGGGAAATGGTACGGTGATGGGAGCAGAGCTACGTCATGTCCTCACCACACTAGGTAAGACCTCAGATACTGGCTAGTCCTCCTCAAGTAATCACAGCTGACCAGTCTTTTTTCTTATCATGCTTCTAATCTCAGGTAAAATCCCTTCAGGCACTTCTCTCTGCCAGAGAATTCTCCATTAGAGAATCCCTCTTGTTTTGATTGTGCCATAAGATAGTTAAATAATTCTTGCTTGTGTACCAGGTGAAAAAATGACAGAGGAGGAGGTGGAGACTCTTTTAGCAGGACATGAAGATGCCAATGGCTGCATTAACTATGAAGGTAAAACCACAAATATCTAACAGCTAAACAGCAAAAGCCTGTTCCTGCTTTTTTTCTGACATGCTTCAGCTCGTTTCTGAAGTTGTGTTTCTCTCTCCTGACAGAACTCGTCCGGATGGTTATGAGCGTTTGAGGAGTTCAGAAACACACTTCCAGCTTCTTCTCTTCTTCCAAAATACTTATGTATTGTTTCTCATCTTGCCCTTCCATCCATGTCATCCTACCTCCAACAAGTCTGTGTTTTGTTTATTTAGACCTCTTTATTTTATTTCAAAAAGTGCCTTTTCTGTCTAATGTGAAAAGACCCTTTCATCTCATTTTCCACACATTATTCAGCCTCGCAGGCACAATCGACAGTAATATTCCCTCGATGATTTAACTTTTGTCATTTTTGTCAATCAACCCCTGTCAGTCTTGTTGTCTTTTTTTTTTTCTTTTGGATGGATATAATAATATGACATGTTACATTTAACAGTGTTGAATAAAAATCTGGTCTATAAAGTATGTGTTATGTCCTTTAAGTCTGTGCTTAAATATCTCTTTATAGATATTACACTTATTCAATCAAACAAAACATTCTATTAGAACTATAGCAACATCAAAATAAAAAAAGGAAATCTGAAAAATATAAAGAAATATTTGACAAATGTAATTATAAAAAAATACAAAATATTTGAAACAAATTGGTAAAGTATTCTAGAGTATTAGAAAATTATACACTGAAGTAAAATATCTGAAAATGATCTGACCAGCAGAGAATAAGATCTGACAAAAATAATGATCAATACTATATTAGGAAAATAATACCAATATATCTAGAAAATAAATTACTAAAAAATTGGGGAAAACATTGATTGAAAATATTGATAACGTTATTCATACTTTTACTAAAGTACATTTCAGAGGGAAATATTGCATTTATCTGACAGCTTTACTTTGCATTTTATATTAAAATTAATAAACTAATGGTTCCCAACCTTTCTGGTTTGTGACTCTAAAAAGAGTAATACTGTCTGGTTGGGGACCCTTGTCACATTTTTTGTTAGCAGTTCCACCGCAGACACAGTTTGAGGCCCAAAGACATTTAATTATCTGATATGTTAGAACAAAGCAAAGATTAGATAAAAGACACAGACGTGTAGTACAACTTTATTTTTTTCTTCTTTCCCATTAATCATCTCACAACCCCTTCAGATTCAACCAGGGATCCTTTGGAGGAGCCTGACCCATAGTTTGAAATCCACTGGACTTAACTACTTACCTGTATAAAATAGTTAAAACTAGCTCCACTTTCAGTGGCTACAACCATGAAATGCTGCTTACACATTGATGCATCAGTTGCAGGACATTTTACTACACAACCACCACTTTTAGTGCTGTTACTTTAAATACATGTAGCTGATAGAACTTCTGTATTTTCACTTAGATAGGAGATGAAATGCAGATCTTTCACTTGAAATGAAGTATTTTTACATTGTATTGATACTTTTACTTTAGTAAAGATCTGAATACGTCCTCCACCACTGACAAAAAATAAAAAATAAATAAAAATAAACTGAAGATCCACTTACTCACCCGTCCTAGAGCTTTCAACTGCATCACACTGTCCTCATCAACACACTCAGTTTGTTGCCATGGAGCTGTAGATTTTTTAACTTTCTATGATTAATACATTTTTAAACCAGAGACATCAGAGAGTTCAGGATTGTTTATGCAAACTGCTTCCTCGTTAGCAGGACAAGGCCTTTTTCACAGCAGACATTTTAACTTGTCACAGTAGAAGAACAGGTGGCCTTCATTAATGTAATTAGTAACACCTGTGCTCTTCCTACTCTGACAACTCAAAATGTCTGCTGTATAGAAACCCTGTTGGTGATTGAACTGTGGGACGAGCCTCAAATTCTACTCTGCACTTGGTAGTCAGTGTCAAACAGGTAAACTAGTTTAAGTTGTAGTTTTAGATCCTTGTGTGTGATTATTTGTGTGTGAGGCAGCTGACAAAAGAACAAACCACTCTACACAGCCACTCCTCTTCACATCTTTATTTTTTTCCCAACATTTTGTAGTTAAAACCTGAACCGCTTTTGCTTTGCCTTTTTTTTTTCATACAAACTGCCAGAGTAACTGTCAGCACTGATGTGATGATTTACTGAGGAAAAGTTGATTTCTACTGTATAATAATCAATGCAATTGCTGCTACCTTCAGCATAGTGAAAAACATACAGAATCTGAACAGACACTTATTTCATATCACAAAATCCACACAATGTAGTAATAACACAGATAAAATAAGTCCATTTATGCTCACAGCTGTGGTGAGGACTGCAATACTGGCTTGACGGACATTAACTGTAAAGTTTCACCATCTGACTGGATTATATTTCATGACACCGACGTGATGTGCCGTGTGCAGAACAAAGCATGTTTTTTTAAATCCTTCAAACCTGGTGATACACAACAAATGGCACTGAAAATAAAACTGAACGGTAACATGGTTTACAGATCTTCATGGCATGCGTTCACATACACACATGCTCACAGTCACATCTCAGACAGATCCAACAGGCCTGTCTGAATCATACACAACAGTGGAGGGGGTAAATATAGGCTACAAAGGTAATAATATACAGTTACAATGTTGACATATCAAAGAAAGAAGATGGAAAAATGGACAGTAAAAAATATAAAAATTGATAGGATAAAAAGTGAGGATATTGTTGCAGATATTAAGGACACAATTCTCCATTGTCAGCCGTTTAAGGTGCGAGCTCCCTTGTCTTTGACAGCATTAACATTTCTTCCATCTGTAACTTGAAATGCACCACCGAAAAAACAAGCTGTGAAAAAAAAAAATCCTCTTCATTTCCCGAGCAACCACAATAATACTCACTGAATAAATGAGATAAACATGATTATAAAAAACATTTTGGTTTAGCAAATAACACAAAGTCAAATCATGAATAAACACATTTTGTGGTCGCTGATAGTATTATCATTCCCAGACCGTCTTCTTCAGTCGTTTCTTCTGAACAAAACTACATTCCACACAAAACTACAACCTGGATTTCATCTTGATTTGCAAAACTTAAACACCTCACTGACACATTAATAAGTGCTGTGGAAAAAAGACATTATTTAGTTATGATCTAAAACAAGGTCTTTTCAGGACCTCACACTGTCAGTACTTTCAAAATAGTTCCCATATTTGTCATTACGGGGCAACAAAAGGTGTTTGTAACAGAAAATCCAGCTTACAGTACGTATTCTCAAACTGCATCCAAACAAACTAATTTCAAACTGGCTTCTGATTTGAACACTTTTCATTCATTGCAGACTTTTCTCTTAAGAGAGACATTGGTTTTTAGACATGCGACCTTCAGGCCAGACCTTGAAGAGTGACCGTTGTCCATGTAATAGAAATAAAAAATAGAGAGGAAAAAGTAATATTCCCAATCGAGTTTCTAAAACCTTCAGTATGAAAAAGTATTTAAGACAACAAAAGGACGATATAAGTGCTAAAGTTCAATTTCATGGATACTTCAAGTCTTACACTGAGACCTAGGGAAACATATTAAAAGTGCATTTTCTTCTTACATACTGTATATTTCAATCAGTACCTACAGTACATGGGGTGAAACTCTGGAGCGCTTGTGAAGCCTGAGACTTCACAAGTTGTGATAAACTGTTGCAGGAAAATAAATGCAACAATTTCCAAAACACTGAAAACACAAGATGAGTCTTTTCTCTTCTTCTCCTTGAGTGCCAGCATGTTGGTAAGACCCTTAGTTTACCAGATCTCTGGTGTTAAGCTTAAAATAACAAAGTGAGATGTTGCTGTCCAATCGACCACACAGGATGAACAACTTCTGTACGAAAATCAATTTTCTTCAATGGTCGATTCAATTTGAAAAGGACTTTTTTTTTTTCAACAGATCAGTCAGAGTATTGGTGGGTTACCGCTTTTCTTTCTCACATCAATTGTCCTGTTGGAAAAAACAAAAACAAAAACAAAAACAAAAAGCTGAAAATGTAAAATGTGTTCTCTTCCTTCAGTTTATGACTTCTTCATTTCAGATGATACAGGCAGGATTCAAAGTGGTCAGAGTCATTCGGATTCTCGGGCAATTTATTGATGTCTCACTGTGGTGGAGGGACCGGAGCTGCGGGGTGGAGTGTTTCCCCAGAGAGAGAGGCGTTGGGCTCTGTGAGGAGGTGACGGAGAGGAAAAGGTGAACAATGTTAAAAATCAACCATTTAGAGCTGCCAGGTTTTACAATATATCCCTTAGTTCCTGTTGGTGGAACTCAGGTTGGATTTTTGTTAACAAGATGAAGAACACAGATGAACCTACAGTCTGTGTGGTCCTACAGCAAGTTGAAAGGGGTTTGTATAAATAACCGAATAAAATGTGTGTAAAAACAAAGGTTCTGCAGTAATGCAATTATCTTAATATTTCACTAAATTGAATATTTTTAGGATTTAGACTGTTGGTCAGACAAGTCAAGACATTTTGTGACATCACCTTGGGATACTGTGATGGGTATTTTTAACTGTTTTATCATATTATATAGGGCAAATGATTACTCAATTAATCAAGAAAAGAACTGACAGATTAATTGATAATCAAAATAATGACTGCGATTAAATTGACACAGATCAAGACAGTGAGGCTGCACTCACCATGAAGGACAGGTGTAGTGCTGGAGCTGGAGTGGGTAGCTGCGGCCTGGCTCGGAGGGCAGGGCGGCGAGGTGTGAGCGCTCTGAGCTGGTTGGGACTCAGGAGCTGGGGCAGAAGAGGCTGGAGGCGCGGGGCTAGCGGCCGGCTGCGGTGCTGGTGTGCTGGGAGCTTGCTGACTTGCTGCCAGGCCCTGGGGCGGCGGGCCTGAGGCCGCCTGGTTGGAATGAGGACCTCCAGCCTGGCTGTGCTGCTGGTGCTGAATCTGCTGGAAGTGCTGCTGGCGAGCCCTCATCTCAGCGTATTTCAACTGCTCCATGTGGAAAGACTGACGGTCAGCCAGCAGCTGCTGCCGCTGGTACTCCAACTACACACAGGCACACAGAAATATGTTAAAGTATTTATATTGTATTCTACTGTCCATTGATGCTACATATCCCAGAACTCCTCACTTACAGCCTCCCTCTCTCTGTCCATGATGGTTTCCAGTTCTTCAAAGTGTCGCAGTTTAATCTCCAGCTTCTTCATTTGGGTTTCCACCAGCAGAGCCACAAGAGATTTGATCTTCCTCTCTTCCACTGCAGCCAGGTGCTGTCAAGAAAGTGGAGGTGAAACCAAAGCTGGAGAAAATGTAAAACAACACAAAAGGTGATGAAGGATACAGTGTGATAAATAACTTTACCTTGGCTTTGACAGCAGCAGCAGCGAGAGCAGACGCAGCAGCAGTGGCCAGGTTCCCCTCTCCAACATCACGCTCCACCTTGGCCTTCCTTTCT